TGCACTTCTTGGTGCACGCAGGAGTTGGCAGCCTGCCCGCTGGCCAGCTAGTGGAAGAGGGTACAGCTCCGGATTGTGAGTCCTGGTTGTCAAGATGGCCTCAATATTGCGTAAGGGCACAAGTTTTCTTGGATGTCGTCGATTGTTCACCTGTACGCGAAAAGAAAACATATCTACTTCAGATCAGATTTTTCTGTTAATCGATCCATCCAGTGTATGTTCATTCGATGCAAATGATACAAGAACGAGACCAACGTTAGGATTACAAGCCAACTGCGCCCTAGTCACCCACTTACCATTTCATTCATACATTTAGCTGCTCATTCATGGCTATTTATGGGAACTGGTGATTGACCTTAAACGTGGAGTTGTATTGTTTTAAAGTAAGGTAGCATTTGATGCGCAACTAACGCCATCTTAGCCAATCAGAATAGCAAACAAGCCGAGCTGAGATTCTTTTCCGGATTGAAGACACAAGAAAAGAGCTTTTGAAAGAAGGACGTAACTGCAGATGGGAGACTGAAAACGAGGTCAGAGTACCCAACTGCACTTCTTGTTCTCAGCTCCATAACTCGCCACTGCTTAAGTTCTCTGCCTCATTTCCCTACTAGTTCACTGTATCACCACCCCTCCACAACTCAAGTTTTCTACCTATCCACCTCACACTCCAGCGCCCCACTTCCCAGCCTCTCTACCAATCTGAGTATCCAGCCACCACTCTAGATTTCTATCTTACTACTATTCTCCATTTACCTATCACTATGACTCTACCTCACGATCAGACCTACAAACCGCCTTTTCCACAGTGAACCATTTATTAAAACCATGTTTCTTACAGAAAACGCTGCATTTGTGATATGGAAAAGAAGGCTTTTAGGACGCCCTTCTTTACAGTACATAGGAGGGAAAGTGTCACCTACGGATTGTCAGAAAGGTTCACTTTACCTACGTCTGAAAGCTAGGGGAGGGTTTAGGGTAGAGATCGTAGGCTATAGGGTTTATCTCTTATTTCTTACGAAAAATTACCCTACGCTTCCTAGCGACTGCCAGAATGCATCAAGAAGGAGATTGATTAAAAACATCTCATCACCCATAAATATATCAACGCATGCTTATTCAGGCATGCAGACATGCACAAACATGCACAGATATTTATTTGAATGGAGAAGCTCATCTTACAAATGATTTGCACTTGCGCTGATGGTGGCAGAATAAGTGGGCTAGGGAGGTGTTAGTCTT